TTATTAAGATAGTTGGATGGTTTTGAACTCAGATATGGCCGCAATAGCTATCCTTACCTTTGGCCTGTAGACTTATCCACCATTTATCGGACACTTCTGGAAGTTTTCATAAAACGTACGTGCATTTAATTTATGTCAACAAAACTTCGTAAAAGATTGCCTGTTGATGCAGCCTAGATGTGCGTTGCGCATCAGCTGCTAAGGTGAAATAAAGGTGCAATAAAAGTAAATTATTTCGCTAAGATGCTGTCTTTCCTTATGCATAAAGTGCAACCATGGTGCAACATAAGCATTTTGAACAATTTTTATTGCGAAACATTAAAAGAATCTAGTGAGCGACATCAGGATCTAGACAATCAGAATCTATCAGGTAGCTACTACAATCTAGACTTGATCTAGACCAGCGACATTAGAGTTAAAGGTTGCAACACAAAGACAATGACAGCTAGATAGACGGAGCGTCGGAGCGTTAAGTTGCATCAGCAATACCATTTTGTTTAACAATTAACAACAATCAGCAATAACAATTTTAGCATTTTGGTCTTGCAATCGCTGCTGAAAAGCGCGTGTTCGGAATGCAATAATGGAATGCACACCCTTACAAACAACTCGCGATTCCGCCAAAACAATAGTCAGTGGAGAAATAGGTTGAGGCCGATTAAAAATTTCCCATTCGAAGCCTTGCTCCGTAACAAAACAGTTCGGGCCTTTTCTTAGCCTCCTCTGAAATGTATTGCTAGTAAGATACATGATTTTTTGCGGTAACGATTTTCTTTCAGCCATTATTGACTCGGGGTTCCGTTTGCTGGCAGTTGAGTGTTATTTCGGTGTCGATCTCGATGGGACGGTATGCGGTCTGTGTTCTGGCCACAGTCATCTCCATGACTGTGACGGATGCGATAGATGGGTGGACGGACGAGAAAGGAGTCGGCTGCATACTGAACCACTAGCTGGAGAGAGAATGGAAAGACGTGCCGGCCGAGCACACCATCCACCGGACTAAAACAGGGAGTGCGCATTTGACGGGGTCTTAAGTAGCTGTACTCTCCCGATTTCCAGAGACAGGCCCAGAGATGATGAAACGCAGGCTGATTCCATCCAATTACACATGACGTGTCTACTAGATAATAAAAAAGTTTAGAGGCTGATGTCTCGGGTTTCATGTAGCTTGAATCATCGAAAAATGGCATGCCTATGTATGTACTTGCACATGTGTTACCGACTGCCCTCAGTGAAGCGCATTGAACACACGATGTTTCACGGCACGCCGCACGCACCCCCTGACTCCTTCCATCAACCGTCGCGGCACCTTCGCGTCGACTGAGACGAATAATTTCCAGAACCGCGACTTCAGATGCCGATCGGGCGCCGCGGCTTAGTCCCCTTAATACATTTCTTTATTAATTAGGCCCTACAAGTCTTCAATCGTCCGCAGGCTGCTGCGACAGCACCGAAGAGCCGAGGCAAACATTGCTGTTAACTGCGTTCTTGCGCTTTGCCCTTTGGTGACAGTACCTGTGTGCGACTCCAGTACTTGAGTGCACCTATCCTAAAAAGGCAGCATATGCACTCGGATGACAAATATTGTATTGAAGCGTTACGTCTGTGCGTATATGGAAAACAGTCACTTATTATGCACAGCACCGACGAATAACGCGCATTGAGGAATCATTTGTGATATTTCGAAACATCATCACAACGTGGGACGACCATCGTGTTCAATGTCAGAGTTATGCAAAATTTGGTAAAGTTTTTAAGGCCTTATCCTTATAGCTTTCACAGGTTTAGGTAAAAATGTTTACCTATTTATTATTTATTTCAAGCACAGTTCTTCATCAGAGCACAATGTAAAAATGCCAACTATGCATATGGTTGATTCTCTATGGTCCAGCCTGTTATGTCCACCGACAAAAAGTGCTGAACATCGCCGATAGGTATTCTGAATGACGCTTGTGTAAGCTGATGCCGAAATTGTTATGACAATTGGCCATCATATACCTATCTGATACAAAAAGATGTAAAATATACTAGCATGCCAGCATCAGTAGATCCGTTTTGGTTTGGTTATGCAAAGCGTTGAGTGAGGCGTTAAAACTGAATGTTGTCACATGCGTCAATGTAGCGCAGCATTGTAGCAAATACCCTCATAGTCATGACGTCTGTTTTGCACGGAAGGCTTGCCATTTTGAGTTGTTTTCATTGCCATTTGACTTATTGACTTCTGTGCGATAAGCGTTATTAAGGTAATTTATTTGCAATGCAGGTAGGCATATTGACGAGTAATGTAATTATATTCCAAGCGTCTGATGCTGTTCCACCTCACGGATCTGTCATGCGGTACAGTCTACCCATTCAGGCGTCAGACATTACGCCGACTCGCTCACGAGTCACGGTACAGCGAGAATGAAAGCGGGAGACTAGTTCAAGCTGGAATTCTTTGCTGTGAAGATCTTGACGCACGTCATTTTGCCACGTAGTTGTTTAGATTGAGAGGACGCTAGACACGTGACATGGCTACCTTATGGCAGATTCACGGCAGACCCCGCTTTCCTGAATAGCCTGACGGACTGAAAACGATGGCTATGAGACGATAAAAAGAAGAGGCAGGCAGCGTTTAGGGTGATGTGGAGTTTATTTTTCTTTCAAGATGTTCACCTGATAGGACAATGAAGGCTTCAAACAGTAGCTGAATGTTTTTCCAAAGCTTGTTTTTTCTTTAAACCAGAAACAGGGCTGAGAAGACGATTTTGTCTACACATGATAACCGAAGGTTTGTTGTCAATAGTTAAAACACTATTCTTTAGAATTGTGTTTTTCTATTGAAAAACAAATCTGAGTTCCCTGACAATTTGGCAAAAGCTGCCTGAGATCAGTACAACTTGATGCTCTTGAAAACGGCTGGTCCAAATATTCTGATTTTTTCAGGATTTCTAGTGGGCCAGGTGATCTACGTTCTGGTATGGGTCTCCCCTCCGCAGACCATCTGGTGCACGTGCCACGTGACTTTAAAAATTCCCGTGTTAAGCCAATGGGGAAAATGAAAAAATGCGTTCCACGGCAGATTGCTCGAAAACGATCCAAACGACCCCCCATTTTCTTACATGCAGATCAACCACCATTCGGTGCACTACCCATGGGTATGTCGCAAAGTGGCCGGAAAAGTCCAGAACCACGTGCCACGTGCCGTTGAAAATGACCCTGCACACCGGAAATTGGGACTTTTGGTCATTTCGGCGCACCCATGATGCATACTATGGCGTGGGTGACCAAACAATGGGTGTCATCCGGTCGGCAACTGTTTAAGGTGTCGTCCAGTGGGCCAAAGTGGTAGTTTCAAACTTTTGGGATCCACCACTCTGGGGATTCTTTTTGACAATATACTTACGTTTCTTGGCGCAATGTTCATTCCACCCAGCCGGTCGTCAATGCGTTAGATGACCCAAATGACGATTGACCTGAAGGAAGTTGGGGGCGAGGAACACGCACGTGCCATCCGTTTTTTACTCGGGCGCTTTCATCTAGGAGATTTTTGCAGATACGTCAATGCGTTAGATGACCCAAATGACGATTGACCTAAAGGAAGTTGGGGGCGAGGAACACGCACGTGCCATCCGTTTTTTAATCGGGCGCTTTCATCTAGGAGATTTTTGCAGATATCTTTTTGATTTGTGAAAATGACCAGCCTAGCGGTATGCCAGCCGCTGATAAATTATTATCTTGCTGCGGCCGGGCGCTTATTTGCGGTGTTTGCGTTTGGCGGCTGGCGGGCGACTTTTAGTCGTTTTCGGTTAGCAGTTAGCGTCGGTGCGGTGCGGGCGGTTTTATTTTTTTCGGCGTTTCGGCGTTTTTTTCTGTGTGGTTTGCGGCGGTCGGGTGATTTTTTGCCGTTTGCGTTGGCTTTTCGGGCGTGCGTTTTACACGTTTTGCGGTGTTTACGTTTTGCGGCGGGCGGGCGTTTTGTGTTTTTTTGCGGTGTTTGTCTTTGGCGGCGGGCGGGCGGGCGGGCGGGCGATGCGGGCGGTTTTCTTCTTTTTTTTGCGTCGTTTGCGGTGTTAAATTTGTTTGCGGTTGGCGGGCGGTTTTATTGTTTTGCGGCGTTTTTGCGTTTTTTATTTGCGGTTTGCGGCGGGCGGGCGTTTGTTTATTTTTTGCGACGTTTGCGTTGGCGTTTCGGGCGTGCGTTTTGCGCGTTTTGCGGTGTTTGCGTTTTCCGGCGGGCGGGCGTTTTTCACAATTCAAAGTCCAAACCTTCGGGCCACAGCGCTCCTCGAAAAGCGCTGCCCTCGAGTATATTTAGATGCAATGCAGTGTTTTGTCAAGACCATATTAATTTATCTTATCAACTGCACTCAACAAAGTCTTTGAGGAGGGAGACTTATGACGCAATTTAAAAGGCGGCACAATTATAAACCTATTTTCACCATGTTAAATGTAATCCTTCGTAATATTATTATTTGTGATCTACCAAATGCCTACACACAACACACATGCCTAATAAAATAGCAGGATGGATAACAAAACAAACGTTCAGACATTCCAACTAACGTTCAATCGGTAGTTACCGTATTGTTATAAACGTCTTTTAAGTAAAATTTATTCCATTTTGCTCTCTTTCATTCAAGACTCATTACACTTTTTATGTCTTTTAACTGTGACATGACTCGTTACAGAACTCGTGTATGTTGACGATTATTTCCAATAACTGATTCTAATTGATTCGAGCTGTTATTCGTCCGATCACCTATCAATGTCCAGAGGCTCGGTGGGCGCCCTTTCACGGGCATTTGGTGACGTGTCTGGGGGTCACAGGATGCTGGAGGTGGCCTAATTGGTACCGATGCCCGCTGCGGACACACACAGACACACAGACACACACCTACACAGGCAGCCCGGTGCGGAGCTCCCGTCTGATTGGCTCTCTGGCGGCCCACGCCGGTCTCCTATTGGTCCGCTGGCCGCGAGCGGTGCATTCGGCCCGATTTGAGGCTAGGCCCTCCGGAGCGAGCTGGTACTCGGAGCTCGGACCCCAGCGGTGGTGCACGTCCCCCCAGCACCTCTCGGCTGCACAGGTATGTACGGACGTCGGACGTGACGTGGGATACGTGGCCGGAGTACGTGACGTGACTGAGCAGCGGCTGAACTGGGCTGTTAACGTCCCGGTTGGTGTTTTCTGAACCAACATCAACGTGGCAACGCTGAAAGTGAGATGCAATAGTCTACTGGACATTTGTTGACCTCCCATGTGACGCTAAAAGGTTTGGGAAATGATCGTTTTAGGCAACGCAAGATGTGTAGGCATCGTGCATGCTTTGGTGGCACATAAGAGCCATCTAGATGAGCTTTTTTGTCAAAAGAGGAGGTACTGCATGTGATTAGATGATAGAGAAGGTCAAAAATTTAACTTTAAAATGCATATAGTCTTCGCCATGTTGACCGAATTTGATTTTATAAAAAAAGAAGCCTTTAACCAATGAAAGTGTTGCTAGATTTCGTTTTCATGTGCTCAGGCGATGCATGTCAAGACCTTTATGCATATCTAATTATGATGCAAAGAAATTGAGGCAAGACTTTACGCTTATTCAAAGTTCAAATCCAGTTACGACCCATTGATGCTGTTAGGCAATGTGATTTATTTCTATGGCGAAAGATAGACAATATTGCGAATTCAAGAATGTGTCAATAGCATACCTATTTGATTAAATTTTGTTCATAAAATCGCTCACTTCAGCTTTTACCCTCAACGGTACCTGGGTAAAAATCCTCTGACATCCTTGATGACACGGAAACGTCCTCGTCTTTTAATTAGCTGGGATTTCTCAGGTAAATGGTCGTGCTCCACTCCACGAGAAACAGCTAACGGTAGGCCCACTATCCAATTCACAACTCTCAGGCCAAGCTGTAACCTATGGACAGACTAATTACCTGTGGCAGGGCTTTGTAGAGCTGCTCACTGCACAGGAAGGAGGATTTGGGATTGCTATTAAGTGCATCGTACTGCATAAATACTGTCAAAACAAGCAAACGCAGTCGATATCGCCCAGACATCGATCTCTGGTGTAAAAAAGTTATCTCAACCTGGTGACATCCGTTAACCTCGGATAACTTTGGATTATTTTGACGAATGGCAAATCAAACATGCCTATGCATTCGTTGACACTGATTTGGACGCTGGCTCCCTTAGCTTGTTTTACCGTTTACGCGACTTTGGCCTAAATAATTCTTACCTGACTTCTAGGAGCCATTAATAAACACTGATTATCCCGTCTGGAATGTAGCACCTTACGCTAAAAAGAAATTAAAATCAAAATCACTTTAAAAATCAGGGCTGCGGAGTCGATGGATTTACGGCGACTCCGACTCCGACTCCGACTCCGGCTTTCAAAAACCAACTCCGACTCCGACTCCGACTCCGGGCAGAAATGTCGACTCCGATCGACTCCAACTCCCGACTCCGACTCCGCACACCTGGCAGGGCTGCGGAGTCGACAGATTTTCGGTGACTCCGACTCCGACTCCGGCTGGGGTTTCCAATATCGACTCCGACTCCGACTCCGACTCCGGTCACAACTGTCGACTCCGACCGACTCCGACTCCGACTCCGACTCCGACTCCGCAGCCCTGTTAAAAATCCACCGATTTTGGCCAACAGTTATGCGACATGTGGCGCAATAATTCGGTTAACTGATCGATTGATTAGGAGAGAAAGATTTGCCAAGATAGGTTCCAATAGTAGATGAAAGACTCCGTTAAATCTAATCAAATTTACCACAGGCATAAACGAAATCCTTTCTTTAATCCATGCGTGCCATACAGCGCAAATGCTCAACCCAATCAACAGATTGTGGTGATTCTGCGTAATCACGCATAATGTTATGTACAGTTGACTACAAAATGATGTTCCACTCCTCAGAAGTTATCAATTGACTGGAACGCAAAAAATTGCCGTTTATCACGCAATAAAGCGCGTCTATGGTGAGCTTTGGGTCACAAACTGTGAACCCACTGGCAGCCCGTGTGATGCGGCACAGCCTACCACTCCAGGCAACTCATTGCCTGTGACTTAAGTGGAATGTGACAAGTGTACATGCCTACAATTCTTATAAAAAAAAGCAAACAAAACAAAACACAATAAGTAGAATAAAACTTACAATTTACCTTCCATTTCGGTTATATTTAGTTTTGAATTCATTTTTCCACTCTCATAGCTACTTTTCCAGTTGTTTGTTTTTCATTAGATTCAGTCGCAACTTGAAGTTTGTTACGGTTGTCGAAGGTAAACGTCTCGGAAGGCTCTGTGATCGCGTGGGCCAATACATGGACGCTCCTGATCGTCTAACCAAGGTTGTCCTTGGTGAAAAGGACAAATGCTTATCCTTTCCCAATGTAACCGATCGAATTTCCCGTCGACATCTCACATCTGACTATAAAATAGTTTGATGCTCTACTCTTAGCTCTCTCGTTCGACCCAAATTATTTTGTGGTAGTTCTGTCCTTTAAAAAAACGTTTGAGTGCCTTCCTTTAGTTTCCATCACCGAGGCTTCTTTTTATACCGTTAAATCTCGTAGTAGACGGTGAAGTTCGGCCACCTTTTGATTCGACTCGGTGCTCTTTGCAATAGCCAATGCCGCAGGTTATGCTCTGTAATCTTTGGAGGCAGTGACTGCAATGCTGGGAAACAGCGAACGTCGGTGTTACCTGGGCCCTGTTTCACAGCACGCTACTGGTGTTTACTAGCGCTATTGGCGCTTTCGGTTTCCAGGGAAATATCAGCAAACTCTGACGCCCAAAAATAAATTTTGTTTGTGCTTCCATTGAAACCGAAAGCTCTAACAGCGCTTGTAGCCGGTAGCACCTGTCGTGAAACAGGGCCCTAGTCACTATATCTGCTGGAAGAGATGCACTTATCAAAGAAAGCCAGAAACTTGGTAATTAAGAGGATGATTGCCTCAAACTGGACAAAAAGTAAAACACACGAATGATCTTTGAATGTTTTGGTATTTAAATTTATTTTATGTAGTTTGCGTGCATTATTATCCTCAACTCAACCATACATTTACTCTCAACTCATACACTATAACCATAACATGCATTTCATGGTATAATTTATTGCAAATCTAATAACTTATGTAAAAGAGCAGAATTCACAGTGAGGGAGTCCTGGTCCAGCGGAACTCATTAGACATGTAACACTGTCTCGATCTCCTTTGGGGCACCGACGAGTAAGGTCGAGCGTTGACACTTCCTGAGGGAATGCTAGAATATCTCATTGCCGATCACATTGCGGAGAGATCGGCCAACTGGCCACCAACTTTACATATTCTAAAACCCGGTGGAGACGGGAAAAGTTGGCTGAACGTCGCCAATTTCGCCTACAGAATGGTCTCTCTCGTATTAACTTCAGCCCGGTAGGATACCGGTCAGGAGCGCCTCGCAGCTCTTTGCCCCCCCCCCCCCTTCCTCCACCCGCCCCCACCCCCACCCTCATACCGACTCGCCCCCCTGTTGCGTCTTTTCCCTCACCATCCTGTGGCAGTGGTAGGCTGCACCGCCCTGGCGCTTGGTGGATCCAGGCCGGATGACGAGCAAAGACGTGACCTTTGACCTTTGTCATTGTAAGTGTCGGTCGCCGCCCGGTGTCGTCACCCGTTTCGGGGAGTTGACGGCCTTTAACGCCGGCGACACTCAGTATGCGTAGGGCGCTCGTGTGCGTGCGGTGTATTGAGGTGGGGTGACCAAGGCGGGGCTCATTCATGACCCCCTAACGCGGAGGCTTGATCGGTGTTGTGAATGCAATGGAACGATATTTCGACATGCGATGAATCCGTGTTCTCTTTGAATTTATTCGACATCCGACATGAAGCGATGCTGGCTTTCAAGAGCCTATGACATGGAACTATTGCCTAACGCTTTAAGATCTTCTATTTCTTTATTATGGCTAGTAGAGTGTGCCTTTGTTTACATTTGGACAGCATGCAGAACCCCCTAACAGATGGTGGTATAGCTGGAAATACGCATATACCTACATAACTCGTACGGAAAATGCAGTTTGTGCTAAAAGGGTAATTTCCATAAAACGCATATACTGGCTGAGTATTTGGAGCCCAATGCCGACTTCCGGCGCCAATTACACCAGTGCATTATTTGACGATCAGCGTTGACGTAATGGAGATCCATTGCGCCAGATGCCACTGCTCTGTGCATGCATGAGGCCGTCTTTGGGCCAGAGTGAGCCTTTAATTTAGATCTAAATGTGGAGTAAATGCGAGCTAACTTAGCATTTGCCCAGAGCAAAAAAAAAGAATATTTTTTCGATCTCCAAGAAAAAGAATGTTTATTGGTCAGGTGCTGAAAAACTTTAGCTGTAAAAAAGACAGCCTGTGACTAAATTTTTATTTTCGAAAGAAATCCCACCGCTGATCGACACACTGCATTACATAAGTGAATGAACGAACTCACATTCGCGGCTTTCCTATAGCTATATGGTCAAAGCAATCATGAGAGCACCCGATAAGAGCAATCAATCCATCTTGTTTCCGATTGCTTTCGCCTTTGATGCAGAGATACTCGGAACGCTCATTTGTGTGCCTGCCCCTTATTGGTTGATCACAAAGAGAATAAATGTGGAGGGACAATCATCTCTGATTATCAAGCGAATGATAAAGGTCGTTGAGACAGAATATCAAGTCTATTGAAAAAGTAGCAGTCGAAAAGTTGAAGAAAAAGATGCAAGGTGAAGTTGAATTTACCTCTACCTTATGGCCTCTATAACTTGTCACTATGTCACACTGCCTGCATTTATCGGAAAGTCCTAGTTATGTAATTGATGACTGACGGCGGTGCGATTTTCGATCCTCACGTCGACTATTTGGGCTGTTGACTAAAGTAAAATCATCTGTCCCGTATCCAGTATTATGTCTTGTGGTCCGTCCTTTGTACTGTCGGTTGGTAGTGCAGAGTCAATTTTTAACACCAGAAAATAGCCAGCTGCCGGTATTTTATTTCCAGAAGTCGCCCACAGTGTCAACTAATCAAGCGAAAAAAAAAAACGCCAGCCAATGTCGAAACATATAAGTTAAGCTAGCTGATATTAACATTACCCATTTAACATCAGTGGACGTTTTTCGCCAGGATGGCGAAATTCGGGGAAAACTTAAGGCAAAAAAAAAATCCGGTAGCCGGCGATTTATCTGTTAGTGGTAAAACTGGCCTCATGTCTCCAAACGTCCGCTGACCGCGCTCCCTGCCCCGCCCCGTTCGCCCGCAGGCGGTATGTCGGCCGGCAGTCTTTGTGGCCGGGATGTGGGCTGGCGGACGGCGCTGGCCGTGCTGCTACTGTTAGTCCTGCTGCTGGTCGGGCCCAGCGCCGCCTACCCGTCCCGCTACACGAGCAGCCAGCGGGCGCAGCTGGACGCCGCCAAACGGGCCAACTCACGAGGTGAGTCACATCGACAAACGGGCCAACTCACGAGGTCAGTGGGAGCACCAAACGGTCCAACTCACGAGGTCAGTCACATCGACAAACTGGCCAACTCACGAGGTCAATAGGTCTTACCACCAAACGGACCAACTCACGAGGTCAGTGACACCACCAAACGGGATTTCTCACGAGGTCAGTAACAACATTAAACAGGTCAACTCACGAGGTCAGTGACACCGCCAAACGGGCCAACTCACGAGGTGAGTCACATCGACAGAAGGGTCAACTCACGAGGTCAGTGATAGCACCAAACGGGCCAACTCACTAGGTCAGTGACAGCACCAAACGGGCCAACTTACGAGGTGAGTCACATCGATAAACGGGTCAACTCACGAGGTGAGTAGGACTTACCGCTAAACGGGAAAACTCATTGAATCAGTAGGCCTTGCCACTAAACGGATCAACTCACGAGGTCAGTGACACCACCAAACGGGACAACTCACGAGGTCAGCGACAGCACCAACCGGGCCAAATCACGAGGTCAGTGACCATTCAGTGAACGCGCCAACTTACAAGGTCGTATGGCTATTTTTACACCATTAAAATTGAAAACAGATCAGTAGTGTTCTAAACCCTTTCCACAGCAGGAATGAAACGCAAACAGAAACAACCTTAACCGTTCTTTATTGAAGGGAGCTACCTTCATCTCATCAATTTTCATCAACCATTGTCAATTTGTGGGCATCAAAATTTAACTTGTAGTTGTGCTTGATATATAATAAATCAAGAGCACACCATGGGTGAATAGTTATTCCAATGAAAACTCGGCAACAGCATTATCCTGGTCTGAATCAGGCCAGAATAACAACAGAGCAAAAACGGCTGAATGAAACCGCTGGTGCGTGGATACTATTTCTGCAAAAACATTTCAGAAATGAACTAAGCCCGCATCCCTTCAACATGGTGTTAGTTCGATCGCGAACAATGTCGATGGTCTCTTTCTACAATGGTCGTGATAGAGTAAGTAATAACTAATATCATATATTCTTAAACGTGTCCGCAATTTGCAGGTGCTATCCGGGTACAACCGAAAGCAGATCGTTTCTACCTGGGACCGCGCTTCGGAAAACGGTCTGAAGTTCCTGCAGACTATGGAGGTAAGAGAGATGCTGGTGCATAAAACTAAGGAAAACTAAGCTTTACAGTGAATCATCAGTAAAACACCACCGTCTGGTGAAATTGCAATCGCTGCAGACATGGGAGCGAGGCGGTGACGGCGGCGGACAGTGACGTGGATCCGCCCCCCCCCCCCGCCCCGCCCCCGCTCGTGGCCTCCGGCGCCGCCTATTGAGTCGTGTCACTCGCCGGAACCCGGCTGTAGTGCAAACCGTCCGCGTCGCTCCCAGCGTGACCACCGGAGGTCTCTGTTTACCTCAGATTTTATTGCACCAAACGGCGTCACCTCTGTCACAAATCTGGTCAAATCGGGTCACTCAAAAACATCGCACAGAAGCGAAACGTTCTAGATTTGACGTTGATAGCGCATTTAACGAGATAAAAATGTTGTATGTTTTGTTTTAAAATATTGCTTATAACAAAAAGGCGTCATCGCCACATGGCCGCTTACTCCAAAATAAGTCAATTTGGAAGTTAATTTACGTAAGAGTCATTAAATTTGAAGCTTAAAAATCATTCATCGGTTTCCATATTTCGTCCAAATCAATATGCTGTTGTGCGCAGAGCACGCTAATCGGTGCCCGAGTCGCTGACTTTTGCGACCCCGCGCTGACCTACACGGTATGCAGTATATTTACAGACCCCGGGAATTCCATGACCTATGTAACACCAAACTGACCTCTGTGACCCCGTGTTGACCTCGGTGACCCGTACTGACCTCTCCCGGCGCGTCATTGCCGTCAGAAGTGGCCGAGTCGGGCCCGGTGGATCTAACTGAGGCCGAACTGACTGATGCGGACCAGTTCAACTTCCGCTGCTCTCTGGTAGAAGCAGACCGAGTCTACAGATGTCGTCTGTAAGTTAATATGAAAAACCTCATTAAAACATCATAGGATGTAGGTAAATTGCCTATGTAAATTTACAAAAGATATTTAAAATCTAGATTATAACGAGTGAGCTGTAATGATTGCATTACAGTTCGTTACGGCTATTGTTTGTTTTTAGGGCACGCCGACCATAGAAATGATTTTGCGTCCATAACGTAACGACCTCTTTTTGTACGCTGTCTACCTACACGGTATTTATTTACCTTTACGTTATCAACATCGGAAACCTCAATATGTGGTTTTCACAGGCACGCTGTGTGACGTGCGTGTCCGATAAAAACCCTAATAACTCAATCCTTTTCAGAGGTTTGGAGTCTCCGCGACTGCCAGCTGAGTGACGCTGAAATCAGTCCGTCTCCGCCGGAGACACAGCAGCCTTACCAGGGCAACAATCAGCCTCCAACAGCCATTGAGGGGTCAGAGGCCGCGATCAGAGGTCAGAGGCCGCGGTCAGAGGTCAAACAGAGGTCAGAGGTCGGCATGGCAGCCATCTTGGTACACTACGAAACATACCGACAGAGATGTCACAGTGCGGCGTGCCCTTGTCAAAAACCGCGGTGTCGGACCTCCGCTCGGCGGGCGACAAGATACACACAACCCCGAGGCTGGCGTGCGACCAGAATACCTCCAAACGCTGGTCTCCCGTCTGCCCGCGGGTCACTCGTTACTGTGAAAGGATATGTCGGCGAAATGCGCTCCCTTCGTAACGATTCTGGACGTTTTCTGGGCGGCTCAGATACGTTCCTCTCGACTCTGTAGTTACGATGATGTTACAGCTGTGGCTAAATAATATACGTTTGATGATGAACATTGGAGTTGTTTTCATTAGTGAACGCAATGACTCCATCTCGGTGTGCAGGCATCTTCAAATGATGTTGAGTCATCTGCTCATCCATTTGACATTGACCTGATCTCGAGAATAATCTCAAATCCGTTCATCGATTTGGACTAAAGTTCTGATGAAAACATCTGCCACATTAAACACACGGTCAAACAGATTTAGGTATATCGCAGTGGCAGTGAATGGTGACGACATTGATGAAATCTCGTGTGAAGCTGTAGGACGGTAGGTATATAAGTTATAGCTCACCGATCGATTGGCCAACTGATCATGATTCATCGCTGGACAACAGAGCTCATGACCAGCAGAGACGACCAGGTAGTTTATTTATAAACTAGGAAATGATGGTGTCAGCTGTCCAACTCGGAAGTTATAATGAGATATCGGAGAAGTGTTGAGGTTAGGAAATCGAGTGTACTTCCGAGGCGTAATGATCATGGGAGTCGGAAGGTATGATGAAACGGTGAACAATGAGCATGCTCTATCTATATTTCTGTTTTTGAGAGTTATAGCCAGCTATCAACACGTTGAGGGCATTGCCTATTGGTCACTTGACGTGGTAATGTTTGCTCGGAATGGCGTAGGTACTCCCAACTTTTGGATTTACCTAATTTACAAACTTGCTTAGACAGACGTAACACAAACACTCAAAACTAACGAAAGAAACTAAAGATAGGTATTTTCATCCATCCCGGGTGGCCCAGAAAAAAACGTTCCCAACTTTAAATCAATATTTCTCAGAAAGTGATAAAGATACAACATTGAGACTTCGAATAGTCAATGCGGCATACATTTTCAGTAAATGCTATGATTTTTATGTTATTCGGTCAATTACTTTTTAAATGGTTCGTGTTTCTAGCATGCCATGTAAAAAATACTTTTTTGCTCAGATTTTTACTAAAAAATATGAGTGAACGGACCACTTCCATCTCGGCACCACGACCTGCAGCCATGACTGCTACTGGCAACTAGTCTCGTTGATGGTTCAGGCCTCAGGGTGACACATTCCCTCTAGCTTTTTTCCTTATTCGTTCGATAACTAGTTGATCTTCTTGAAGGGAGGGCGATCAGCAGTAACCCATGCACCGTGCCACTCCTGCTCGAAACAGGACTTGTTAAAACAAATGGCATCCATAAACACTATTTTGGCTCAGTGACAGTATTTGAATATTTGGCACATAAGTGGGACAAAATCTTTTAAAATAACAACACACGTTCTGGTTTCATTCACGTGTTCTATTTTTTCATTCTTTTTTTCTAACATGGTACGTCTAAGCCAATCATTACTGCCGTTCAACATCGGCAAAAAAGCAAAAACGTGTTACTTAATTCAACATAAGATTGCTGGCTTGAAAATGATGTTACAGTGTTATAATTTGGCATACCAATGCGCAAAGAAGTGACGCTACCTTGATGAAAATTTTGGCTCGTTATTTGCACTCGAATTTGAGATATAGGCCTCCAAAGTTCGGAACGTTTTTTTTGGGCCACCCGGTATATCCATCGAAAAGACTAGCCCATCCCCATTCTTCATTGTCCATCTCTAATCCAACGAGCAATCCCAACAAACAAGGAAAACCATCCAAACAAATAATCGAGCAAGCAGACTAACTGAAGCAAGCCGAATCTATCAACCGCGGTCCGTCTTTGTTTCAAAGAGCAATGATGTTCAGGCCAAATATCTGACTTCACGATCTCCTTTTTTCCAAAAAGCACCTGTTTTCCATTCACTGATGGACGGACAGAAATGTACGACCCGGGCTACTCTCGAATTGTCAGGATGTCACGATATCAATCTGCTTCTCTAGTGACGGGTTGGGATTCAATAAGAGCGCCGAATTTCCCGATTGATAGTGGAGCTCCACGACTGTTTTCAGACCATTTCTTTCTCGTACCTCTCAGCTAAGTTGCGACGGGTGGCTGCTTTGAAAACAGACAGCAACTCCCAAGCGTCTAACTTTCTAATCTGGGAAGTTAGCACACAAGGTACAAAATACGGCAATTGAAGTGAACTGTTGAAAATGATTCGTAACGATTGTGAATACTTATGTCCAGAAGTATGTAGGCAAGGAAACAATTGAGCAAAACTATAGACAGAAATAAAGATAACATGAATCCCAAATTCACATCTATGACATTGACCTATGACAGCGGCAATGTGAATTCGATAGGTGCAGAGAAGCTCGTCTACCTAATTATGACGAATTACTGCCTATTTTCTGTTTAATCACATTATTTGCTTTGGTAGGTAAAATATCTATAAATGTAGCCATTGCTGAATCAATATGTAATGACATCATTGCAAATATGTCACGCCACGACAGCAAGGGTTGAGACTTCTACCTATTTCGCGTCTTTAGACGCGTCTAGCTGGACGGCTACTGCGTCTTTCTGGCGACAGCTACCCTTAGACACGTCTAGCTTGGAAGTCTCCGTCCAACACTTGGACGCCACACTGAAAACAAAATGACACAAAAAACGACTAAAAACGCACAGGCAGAGCGTGTTAACTAGGCTTTCTTGTGTACCCTGCATCATGCATTTTTTGACCCGTCGCAGACGTGTCAATTTACAAATGTGTTAACCCAGTCGTGTTGTGTCCTAAAACACAATATCATTGTGTCTTCAACACATAAGGCTTGTGTGAATACATTTGCAGAATACAAGGTAAATGTGTTACTATATTTAACACAAATCGCAAGTGAAAGAAGGAAACACGTGGTGATTATGTAGTTTGTTACCGGGGCGCAGTTGAAGGGACTTTGGCTTTAGCCGGACAGGCTGACTGCCAAAGCCGGGCCCCGAGTGGAATCGGGCGCTCGGGTGCGGTCAGAGCTGAGTACCCGGCCGGCCGACCCATAGGTCAGAGCGCGGTCAGGGCTGAGCACGCGGGCGGCCGACCCATACACGATCTGACGTTGCGCCCGGTCGGTCGCTCCAGGGCCGAGGGGTGAACACGTCACTTGGACGGCTCAATTAGTGCACCAAATGACGATGCCCCAATTTGGAGGACTACTGTACAATACAGTTATCCAGAAAGCCGGGATAAACTTCCAGCCACCAATTTTTCAAATATATGCTATATAGACCGAGGAGTTTCTCCCTCCAAACAGACGTTAATTAGCTATTCTTCAGCTTGCACTTGATGCAATCAGCGCATATTGCTCTAGACAATTTATCATGTATCGACTCCCTCGGCTGTATTGTGCATTTTGACCTTTCTCAAAACACTTTGGCAAATTTTTACAAAAACGCAGCATAAAAGTCGGTGCTCGAAAAACGCCCTCTGTTATCCCCATCTGAAGTTAAGGTTCAGAGGTCGCTCACTGGTGGATGGCACGGTATATTTGTGTAAGGGTACACGTCTACCATATCCGACAACACATGATTTCGATACACTGATGCATTACATTCGTCCAGCGTGCTTGGCACGAGAAAGTGTGTCATTATTCTGTTTTCTGTGTTATCAAACGTGTCGAAGGTCCCGCCAAGCGTGAAAATACACAGTAGGGTGGCACTAAAACGGGGCTAAAATTTCGTTTTGAGAATCTTCAACGGGACGGGCAGCCAATCTGTTCTACCACCCGAGAAAACGTTGGGTGTGAAATATTTTTGGAAAGTATGTTTATTTAGAGGTAGCTCAACCAGGTCAAAGTTCACATTTTTGTGAAAAACACAACTTTGCCAAAATTTTAATTTCCACGTGTATTTCTGACGTTCACAATGACATTGGACGTTGTCAAGACTTTATCCAAACGTTTCAGCACCTAAAGCTCAGATATATAGGTACATATGAGTACATAATTCTTTTGAAGGTATGCATAACTTACTGCATAACTCCATGAAAAGAGAAAGCGGTATCATCCGTAATCAGCCAACACTTGTACACATCATTCGTCGGCTAGTCTTGCCTACTTTGAAAGTTACGACCGCCGTGCGTATGTCAGAATGCTTGCGTCTTTGCTCCTCGACGACCTACAAGAGGAGCTGCTGTTAGTCTTTATCCTTCGTGGGGGTCAGCTCGATTTCCTGGCCATCAACAAAATGCCTCGTTCCGCGAAGTCGTAGAGGCGTGAAGAGACCTCATGTAGCGCGTGGCGGCGTTGTAGAATGGCTTGAACTCCCAAAGAATCGGATCCTTCAAGAGGAAGTCGGTGTCCATACCGAGGATGCTGAAGAAGCTTGTGAAGCCAGTTGTGATATGACGAAGTCTGCCGTGGACTTGCTAGAGACTGAAGCTATAGTAAGTTCAACGTGGGCTCGACGGGGGGGGGGGGTACTCGACCCTCTCCTTCTCTCGTAACGATGCAGCCATCTCACGTTCAGTAGCAGCGATCGTAATCTCCTTCATTAGAAGTTGAGGGCGACCAGCCTCTCATTTAGAGATACCAGAGGTGACGGCTGAAGACAATGGCTGTCGCCTTGGACATCAATTCGAACACCAATTCGTCCAATTCGCACTCCAGGAGGGACTTGAGGAAGTCGAGATCTTGCGCTGGTGCAGACGCCAGAAGCAGTGCATTGAATCGAGCCGAAAACTACGTTGTTACCACAAAGGTCACGATTCGCTGGAGGCTCTTCTTTTTAGACGGAGTGAGCCGGGATTGTGCTCGGAAGAGGTAAAGCTTCATAGCGTAAATGGCATTGGTCAACCAGCACACACGGAGCATATCGGGGCGAGCGATCTTCATACCTCATTTCGGAGCACCACCGAGGACAGTGATGGCCAGCTCCAGCATCTCACGGTTGTCGCGTGAGTGCTGTTGGTCTAGGATATACGACCGAGGTGTGCAAGAGCATCACGCGAGTTGTAAAGGTGGGACATGTCACAGTTTTTGAAGGTTTATGGCTTCGTTCCATCTATAGACGCCCACTTTCTATGGAAGCGCTTAAACAAAACGTCCGGGCCGCTGGACGGGCCGAGGCAGGCTGAAAATGTTTGTATAGAACAAACTCGTAAATGTC